AGGCTATCAAAAAATATTTGTGGAGACATAGCTTTTAACTCTTTTTGAACCTCCATGCTATACAATGCACCTCCTTTTTAATAAGTATTCCTACAGAGTTTGTAAAATACAGGTGATTAAACTAGTATTCAGGGGACATTATTCAATCTGTTCTAAAATACAGGTGAGTAGGGGACCCATTGGGCAAAATGTTTGGGGAACTCTGTACTGAACAAAGTAAATAGGTTTCTTTATTGTAGACGTCTAGACTATTTAGGATACTAACATGCATTATGAATCTCTGAATGGGAATATAGGGTGCAACCGTTTTCTAAATTTACTTGAAAACTGAACATTTTTTTTCACTAAGTTTATTATAATTCTGGTATTCTATTAAACACTAGAGGCCAAGTGCACGAATTTGTGTATGGGTGGGGTTCCTCGGCCTGGCCAGCGATTGGGGCCCATCAGGGGCGGTCTCACCCAGTCCCAATCAGGGCCAATCGGGGCCGGCTGGCTGGACGGAGGGACTGCGGGAGGTTGGCCGGCTGTGGGAGGTTGGCTGTGGGAGCGCACTGACCACAAGGGGGCAGCTTCTGCATTGAGCGTCTGCCCCCTGGTGGCCAGTGTGTGTCTTTGTGACCAGTCGTTCAGTTGCTTAGGGTTTTATATAGAGAGAAGTTTGAGAAAGACAGGAATGCTAATAGCGAAACTTTAGGCTTTATAGTCATGTTCCAAAGATTAAAATATGTATGTTACTCAGTCAACTACTAATGGATGGCTGTCCATAGGGTGCATAGCATTATTATAATTATTTAATACTTTTCTTAAGTCAAATCCCTGAGGTTTTTTTCAGTTGTCACATTTACCACCAAGAAATGTGCTATGTTTTAATAGCACCCTCAGTTTTCCTAGAGAACTGTCGATTAACAAGCCTGTCTTCTTCCAAGGTCGATTATCACGTTCTTAAGATGTAAACTTGAATTTCAAGTTAAAGTTGCACATTACAGGGATTTCCCTGCACATTTACAGTTGTGTTATATAAGTAATATTAGATTACTAGGCCTGGTCACAGGAATAATTTTTTCCTTGCAGCAATTCCTGTGGAAACCATTTGTTTTTAAGAATATTGAACATAAAATGCATCTGTATTACAAATGTTCCCATGGGATTGAACAGCTATGATCTATTCTCCACTTACTTCAAATAAACATTTGCTGGTCCCTGATCTATAATATCATTACTATAAGGCTTATATCTTTGCTGATTCCTTATACTAGCACATAGTCTCATCAGATTTATTGAATGCATCCACTTTTTCTCCACTTACTAGATTATTGTGATCATATCTACCATATCATTGAGTATATTATTGTTTTTATTTTATTTTGCTTCAGCATATTTTCATTCTGATTATTTCGTTACTAAGCAATTGCATATGTCCCGAGAAGTGAATGATCTGTGAGTTGTTAGAAAAAGAAGAAAATATTTGTCAAGAAATTATATTTTAGCAAGAGAAAATTTAGAAAAAAATGAATTTTTATTATGCATTTTAAAAATCATTCACATGGTTAAAAGGATGCCAATACAAATAAAAGATACCAACTGCAATGTTTATTGTCTTATTCAATATATGAAAACAGTTAAAACCTTTTCACAGCCGTGACAATTGGTGGTATATAAATTATTTTAAACTTTGAATATTGGCTAAGAACAAAGGTAATATATTATGCTCCAGATGATAAAAGATATTTTACTAACAATAACCTATAAAGATATTGCTATATAAGCTGAATTAGAGGTCAAATTTATAGTTCTATCAGTTATTATCACATATAACACTTATTTTCTAATAATAGGCAGGAATAAAGGAGGCCTATTGAAATGAAAATAACATACAGGCTTTCAGCAAACAGCATAGTAAAAACACATTCAAAGCAGGCTGTAAACATGTTTTTATTTGTTCTTCCTCTTATGAGAGAAAACAGCTTATTGTCCTATATAATAAAAGGGTAATATGCAAATTAACCCTAACAGCAAAACGTCCTGGAACGACCGGTCACTATGAATATTTAAGATTTTTTTCTTCTTTAGGAGTTGGAAATTAAATATTTTCCATTTATTTATGCTACATTAAAGAATAAATAATGCCCTAGCTGGTTTGGCTCAGTGGATAGAGAGTCTTCTGGGGACTGAAAGGTCTCACGTTCAGTTCCTC